TTTCCTTGATATGTTCTACTGTTCTATTGATTTCTCTTTCATTGATTTCTGTTCTAATCTTTATCATTTCTCTTTTCCTGCTGGATATAGGTTTTGTATGCTGTTTTTCCTCCAGGTCTTTTAGTTGTAAAGTTAGGCAGTGTATTTGAGAATTTTTTTCTTTCTTGAGGAAGGACTGTTTCACTATATACTTCCCTCTTAGGTTTGCCTTCGCTCTATCCCAAAGGTTTTGAACTGCTGTGTTTTCATTTTCATTTCTCTCCATGTAATTTTGAATTTTCCTTAATTTCCCTGCAAATCCATTCATACTTTAGTGGGATGTTCTTAAACCTCCATGTATTTGTGTTCCTTCCAAATTTTCTCTTGAGATTGAATTCAAGCATTTTCATCTGAAAATTTGCAGGGAATAATCCCAATCTTTTGGTACCGGTTCAGACCTGATTTGTGATCCAGTGTGTAATCTATTCTAGAAAATGTTCCATGTGTACTGGAGAAGAATGGGTATCAGTTGCTTTACGATGAAATGTTCTGAATATATCTGTGAAGCCCATCTGGTCCAGTTTGTCATCCAAAGCCCCTTTTTTTAATTTTAAGGATTATTTATATTTACATAAATTTCAACATATTATAGCTATCATATAAATTGCTGCTCTCCTTTAATAATGTTTTTAGTTTTTTATTTAAATCCTTTTCACTTTTCATATACTCTATTGTTAGTTTCAGGGGTAGAATTCAGTGCAACTTCTTACTACACACACGTCCAGAGGCAAGGCACAATTAAACTATTGGGAATTCTTCAAGATCAAGCTTTTGCATAGTAAAGGAAGCAGTCAATAAGACTAAAAGGCATCCTACAGAATGGAAGGAGATATTTGCAAATGTCTTATCAAATAAAGGGCTAAGATCCAAAGTCTATAAAGATCTAATCAAACTCAACACCCCAAAAAACAAAAAATCCAATCAAGAAATGGGCAGAAGTCATGAACAGAAATTTCTGCAAAGAAGACACACAAATGGACCACAGACACATGAAAAAATGACTCACATCACTTGGCATCAGAGAAATACAAATCAAAACCTCAATGAGATACCGCCTTACACCAGTCAGAATGGCTAAAATGGACAACTCAGGGAACAAGAGATGTTAGCAAGGTTGCAGAGAAAGGGGAACCCTCTTACACTGTTGGTGGGAATGCAAACTGGAGCAGCCACTGTGGAAAACAGCATGGAATTTTCTCAATAAGTTAAAAAGTTAAAAAGAGAACTACCCTATGACCCATCAATTGCACTGCTACTTATTTATCCAAAGGACACAAAATATTGGCACTTACACCCCAATGTTGATAGCAACAATGTCCACAGAAGTCAAAATATGGAAAGAAACTAGATGTCCATCGATAGTTGAATGGATAAGGACAAAGTGGTGTGTGTGTTTTGTGTGTGTGTATAATATGTATAATATATATATAATGGAACATTACAGATTATCAAAGTATGAAATTTTGCCACTTCAAACAACGTGGATGTTGCTAGAGTGTAATATCCTAAGTGAAATAAGTCATTCAGAGAAAGAGAAAGATATGAATTCGCTCATATGTGGAATTTAAGAAACAAAACCCATGAGTATAGGGTATGAAAGAAAAAAAAAGAGAGGGAGGTAATCCATCAAAGATTCTTTTTTTAAAATTTCATTTACTTATGTTTAGATATATGTCTATTGCTCTATCTATATCTATAGTTATATACACACATACACAACACACACACACACACACACAGAGTGCACGAGTTAGCAAGCTTGAGGGATGGGACAGAGGGAAAGAATCTCAAGCAGACTCCCCACTGAGCAGGCCCTGATGCAGGACTTCATCTCATGTCCCTGAGATCATGACCTGAGTGGAAATCAAGAGTCAGTCACTCAACCGAGCCACCCAGGTGCCCCCAGAGACACTTACGTATAAAGAACAAACTGAAGGTTGCTGGAGGGGAGGTTGGACGGGGTTGGGCTAAATGGGTGAGGGGTAACATTGCACTGGAGACATTACTATTAAAATGTACCAAATGTTGAGTTAGAGATACTACCGTTTGGCTTATTAAATGTAAATTTGTACACTTGGATTAGCAGAAAAAATGGGGCACCTGGCTGGCTCTGTCAGTGGAGCGTGCAACTCTTGATCTCTGGGTCATGAGTTCAAGCTCTGGGTCATTGAGCATAGAGCCTCATTTAAAAACATTAAAAAAACACAGAAAAATGTTCACTACCATTTTGATTTCTCTGTCTTAAGGATATGAAACTTAGTGAAAGAGAATACTCTGGATCAAATAAATGGGGAAATGTCCATACTTTCATGTCGGTCACCTGTAGGGTGTACACTTGTGTGGCCAGAAGTGGACTTTCCCGAGCCACCAGAAGGGGCCAGAAATTGATGTTCTGGACTGGGGATGCATATTTCTTCCTACATCCCCCAAACAAGATCCTGGGAAACACATATATAATAGAGAGCACTCTTGGCAACTTGCTGACAAAAGACTGTAAGGAAATTAGTAATCATTTATGCAGAGTGCCATCTTCTCCTCCCCTTCTTCATCAGCTGCCCAGCAGTGCCTCCTGAATCAAAGTTGAACTTAGGAAGATGTTGCAATTTGGTGTGTACTTCAAACACCCAACAGACTGGTTTTGTGGGCAGACACCTTTCTTTAACTGAGATGTTATAGAAACACAGCGTAGGGACCACAGCTGATGGCCTGGGCTCACATAAAATTTAGCAGCTACACATGCCTGAGAGACTTATAGAGACCCCTCTGTGCCTCAGTTCCCTGTTCTGGGACACGAAAATGTTAATACAGCCTACAAATTAGTGTTCAGGTATGAGGCTAAAAGGGCTTTACTAAGAGTAAAGCCTTAAGGAAAGGAAAGGACTGGTGCTTCACAATTACTCTGTAAGTATTCAGCTACAGAATGCCTAGAGAATGAGCTGCACACTCGGTAGTGGGTGATTCCAGAGAAGGGACTTGGATGGCTCCACAGCAAGGGAGGATGAAAGCCTACTCTTCAGCGTTTACATGGGAATGTTGTGTAAGGGCTCACGGACAATATGTATTAACAACTCCTGTGATCGCCACATCAGTCCTTTTGAGAGGGGTCAAAGTCAGGGCTCTAACCCATATTTTACAGTGCAGGGCTCTGAAATTTAGAGAGATTAAGTGATCTGCCCAGGACTGGCCACAATGATGTGTGTTGGATCCAAGACAGGAAGGTAGTCGGTCCCTGGGTGAGAGATCTGAGCACTTGAGCCCTGCCCAAGGTCCCTGAGAAAATGCTTTGGACCCCTGAACCAAGAGCACTCTGTACCTTCTCAAATTCTCCTGCCCCACAATTTCTGGGGAAGAGAGTAGACGCCCTAGAGGATGTGTCTGGAAAATAATCTGAAACCTAACATCCTCCTGGCTCTGTGTTCAATCCCTGACAGAAAATAGGATTGTTTCCTCCAAACCAAGCCCTTCTGAAGGACCAGGGAAAGACAACTGTGACCATCCTTCCCCAGCATCTTCCCACTGTCAGCTTTCTCTCCCAGGGCCTTTCAATGACCAGTTGACCATCCTCAGTGACCAGTGGGCTGCTCAGCCCTCAACTGACTCTGAATCCATGACATTCCAAACCAACTGTTATATGGTGGCTCTGCCAAGAATTAGCTTCCCTTCAACTGACCAACCATAGATGAACAGTTACAGCATGCTAATGGGAAAGTGGTCCTCTGGGCTAGGGCTTTAGTTGTTGAATGAATGAATTCTGTGAAGCTCAGTGTCTTACTAATGATGTGAGTGACTGAGCAGTGTGTACTAAGTCTTGGCTGACAGTGGGCATGGCTGCACTGGTTGAGTGTGTGCCTTCCTGCTCCTGTCCTCCCACATATTCAGTCTACACTCTCAAATCTCTCCTCATCCATCTCTAGACCCTGTATTTGCCAGGAACAGGGTCTTCTCTCCACACCCACCAAACCCATAGCCTGGATACCCCACCCCAGATCTCTCTTTAAAGACCACAACACAGACCTTCACTCTCAGCTCCCAAACGTTCATTCCATCAACCCGATGGTATTGTCCCTTCTCACCATTCTCCCAGGCTTCACCCAGTCAATAATCCCATCCATATCAACCCATAAAAATCCCACAGGATATCCCAGTTTTTGTTTTTTGTTTGTGTGTTTTAGGATTTCTGGAAATAAACTGCTAATATTGGCTTTTAGTTTTGACATCTCAATTCAGGAAGACTTGACCTGTAATTCTCCTACCCTGTAATGTCTATCACTGGGGTGGCATCAAGAGTCTCCTCATCCTTTGAAAGCAGTGTGAATGTGTTCCCTGTGCTTGTTCTCTGTATGACAGTGTAGAAAATTGGCATTTGGTATATACATACAATGGAATATTACTCAGCTATCATAGAGGTTGAAATCTTGCCATTTGCTGTAATGTGAGATGGAGCTAGAGTGTATTATGCTCAGTGAAACAAGTCAGTCAGAGAAAATCAGAAAAACCATATGGTTTCCTCACATGTGCAATTTAACAAACAAAACAGATAACATAGTGGGAGGGAAAAAATAGAATGGGAAGAAAACCATAATAGAGTCTTAATGATAGAGAAGAAACTGAGGGTTGGTGGAGGGAGGTGGGTATGGGATGGGCTAAAAGGGTGATGAGTATTAAGGAGGGAACTTCTTATGAGGAAATCTGCATGTAATATGTAAGTGATGAACCACTAAATGAAAAAAATTGCCATTTGGAAATCATACATTTTTCTAAGATTAGGAACATATTTAAGGCAAGGCAGCTTGATATAAAAATAAAAACTGTAAAGTAATGCCACAAAATTATAAAATATCTTTATATAACTCTAGACAAATTGGGGGCTGGACATGTAAAAGAACAGGTGAAAATAATTTCAGTTAATGTGATCCAACCCATTTGAAGGAACAGTCTTTGGAAAATTAATATGAACTCACCTGTAGAAAAAACAATTCAGATTTCCCATCGTGGGGAGCATGTCACCTGTTACCCCACTACTGCTGCACAGCTCAGAGAGTGACAGTTGGAATGGAAGGCAATGTGTGCATCATCACATCCCCATGGGCGACAGGTCATTGTAGAACTTCCAGAGTGAATGTGTCTCTGCACACGGTGGGTCCAACTGCTGCTGTGTAGACTAGTGTGTGACTACATGAGCAAGTGTGGCATTTAAGAGGACATGTTCATTTCACAAACTGGTCCCACACCCACACATTGTTATTCTGTGTTTATGAAAACAAGTTATATCAGAAAAGCCTGCCCACCAAATAGAATGGGCAGGAAAATTTCAGTGTGAAAGGGGATAAAGTTAGCGTGTTGAGAATAGAGAAGTTCCATTCTTGATTTGCAATACCATCTCCACCCATTTCTACTATTCCTGAGCCACCATATTTTTAAGAAAAACTAATACAATTTGTTGTAGAGGGAATAAAAAGCATAGTAGAGATTCAATTTGTAAAAGTCACTTTTCCTCTCTCTCAGCATGTAATTACCCAATTATATGAATCCTCTTATCATCACTCTGTATTCCATACTTTTTTCTCTGTATGCAGCTAAATCTATACACTTTGTTATTTCAAATTGTGAATTCCTTGAACATTTTCCCTGTTACTATGCAAGCAACCGACCGGTCCCAAGATTTATTTGTATATTTGAGGAAGAGCAAAAGGGAGAGAGAAAGAGAGAGAGAGAGTGAGAGAGAGAGAGGAGGAGCAGGGGGAGAGGGAGAAAGGGAGAATCACAAACAGACTCCCTACTGAGCATGGAGCCCTATGCAGGGCTCCATCTCAGGAACCTGAGATCATGACCTGAGCTAAAATCATGAGTTGGAAATTAACTGATTGAGTCACCCAGGTGCACAAATACAATGCTTTTCTAAATATATTTTAGATAACCACACCTCTGGGATTATGTGTGTTATGGTTCATAATTCAACATCTAATCACATCCACTCTTACACTATGGTCATCATAACTGGCCGTATTTAGGGAAGTGCCCTGCCCCCCAAACTTCTTCTGACCACAGGGATCCTGAGACCACCATGTCCCACCTGGGGTTCTGCCCTGGTTTGCCAAGTGAGCACTTTTAAGCCAGGGACATTACCCACTGTAGCAGAGTTCTGGCTCTGATTTTGCTCTCCACTACTTATAACACTTTGCAGTAGCCTCCTTAAGCAGGCTCCTTCCCCTCCACTCTACCCTGATATATCACCCCAGATTCAAGTCTCCACACCTCCTACCTTCCAAAAAGTAGCCCTCTTCTACTTGTAGAGCTGAAGCACTTCTTTTTTGATATCTCTAAATGATTTTGCAGGAGCTCAGAATGATTTGATAACTATCTAGCTGTATTGAAAGGACAAGAGAAACCTAGGGTCTCCTACTGCTCTGCCATTTAAATCACTATCACTGCTGCAAATTATTTAGCACCCTCACCCCCCATTGATGAATTTGCTTTAAATATGGCAATACTCTCATCTTTATCTTATCATGTTCACTTTTACTTTGGTTTGGGGGGCTGGGCAGAGGGTGATGTTTCACAGGAGGAACATGAAGAGAAATTGTAAATGTCGGGTACCTGCCATGAAAGGCTCAACCCTTCCACAAATTACTGGGTGGGTCTACAGTGTAATCAACCAATACACTGGCCTAGCTACTATTGCCTGCCACTATGAAGTAGATAAGAGTACAGTCATAATCCATGCAGCCTACTAGAAGATGCCTTGAACACATCTCCCAGGGAACCTGTACCCAATCCATGCATGCACCTGATCAGGATGGGCTATGTCCTCCAGCCTCTGCTTAACTTGGAGGCAGGGCTCTGGGTGCCTGTGGGGCCACCATGGGTAGGCCTGGAGGTAGTGTGCATTGATTTATTTCTGAAGAGTGCCCTTGGAGTTGTTCTTCATCTCACTCTGCAGGACACAACCCTGCCCTCCCAACCTGCTGAAGTCAGCAGAGAGCTTCCTCTGTTAATACATAGGTGTGATGAGACGTTTGGGGTTGGGTCTGAGGACTCACAATTCAGGGATCTGGCAAAAGAGTGAAGACATAGGCCCAACAGCGCTCATGCAAGCAGGACAGCTCACCTCCTCCTGCTTTGCATCCCTTTGGGCACATGGCAGGCACTAGTATTGAGGAGGGGACACTGTAGGATCCCCATCTGATTGGAGCTGTCCCTGTGTTTGGGTCCCCTGAGCCCACGAGAATCTTTGTGGGAGATAGGGGCTAACTTCATGGCATCATTTTCCAATGTGACTTTTGAAGTTCTATAGATTCTGCCTTAATTGGCAGGCAAGGCCTTCAGGGAAAAGTAGTTCTGTTCCCAATGCAAACATGTTCAGTGGTTCAGCATGTACACTGTGCCATCTCACTCCCTCTGCAGTTACTCACTCCCTAGTAACCGCTATGCCACCCACAGCACCCAGATGTGCCCAAGGACAGTCCACAGAGAAGTCATGTTGAGGGCTCTCAGAGAGACTGTGAAAGGGACTGCCAAGCAGCAGAAAGACCCCAGCCAGAGAGGCAGGGCTATTAGGGAAGGCACCCTGATGGCATGGTGGACACCATCTTCATTCAGTTTCTGGGGATCCATGCAGGCTTCTCTTTCTTCTTAAAAGGCTTGGGTCCTGCAGAGTTACCTCCAGCCCCGAGAGCTCAGAAGTGTGTCCAACCAGAAATCCTATATCTCTTGTAAGAGCTGTACCAAATAAAATGCCCTATGATCTCATACAGTTCTACCTCATGTTTCTCACAGCTGTAGAGGAGGACACTCTGGCCATATCTCAGGCCTAGGTGCTCCAGAGGTCCTCATCGAAAATGAGCCAGACAGGCCCTTGCTGTCCAGCTGCAGCTTTGGTGGTTTCTCAGAGGAAGATCCAGCACAAAAGGATGCACATGTAACCATCAGACAGAAACATACTTGGAGGAACAGCTCAGGTGCACTTGATAGTTGCAGGACTCAGAAACAAGCTGTACATACTTCTGACCAGGAGGCAAGACTGGGGACCCCTGCAGACAAGACAAAGGCAATCTGGGATTGCCACCACCCCTGAGGTGGGTTTAGAATCACTGCTGAAGACCAGCCTCTGAGGAGGAAGCAGCACTCCAAGGCACGCCCAGTGCTTTTTTGGGTGACACCGAGGCCTTCAACGACAGCACTAGACAGCCTTCCAGTTCTTTCCCTCTGCCTGCTGCATGGTCTGCTCCTCCTCCAGCTGTCTCTCCAGCCCCCAGCAGGTATACACAGCAGGAGAGATGCAGGAAGATGCAGGACTGCCAGGACCCAGTGACCACCCTGGATTCCAACTGAGGGGCAGCTCTGTGCATCCTCTATCTCAGAGGGCACACAGCTTGTGTCAGAGCCCCTTTCAGTCACCTCTTCACAATCACCGTCCCCACCTCCCTGGCTGACTGACTCCTGCTCACTCTCAAGAATCAGGCAGGACTGACCTGCTGGGTCCCCAAACCGCTACCCCTGCCCCTGCTATCTCACCAGTCAGGAAGTCTGCATGAGAAGTCCATCTCCTAACTGGCCAGCTCCAGAAGCATCTGCGTCCCTGTCCCCACTTATGGTGACACTCTTCCCAGATTCCCCTCTCATGGAGCGAGAGAAGAGACCCTCTGCAACCCAAGGCCTCAGTGACAGCTGAAGCAGATGCCAGTTGTGCCTTCCCTGCTGCTCCCAGCACTTCTGAAATGGAGCCCCCACCTGATGCATGCAGATTCTCCTGTCTTCACCAGCAGAGCTCTCCTCCCACTGAGGTCCTAGTGCCCCTCCTCAGGCCTGCCTTCCTATCATTATAGCTGCCACCTTCTAGCCACCCCCCCACCACACATCTATTGTCTTCTTACAATACTTTTTCTTAATTTTTTTTTTTTTTTTTTTTGCTATTTCTAGGCTCCCTGTTCTTCTGTGAGTTTTTTCAAGCTGTCATAAATCTCCAAATCTTTAAGTAAACTTGCTGGGGGAAAAAAAGACATAATGAACACTACATCAAAAACTATTGATGTACTCTATGTTGGCTAATTGAACAGAATTTTAAAAAGTTTTAAAAAAAACACCCTTTCAGGGGCGCCTGGGTGGCTCAGTCAGTTAAGCATCTGCCTTCAACTCAGGTCATGATCCCAGGGTCCTGGGATCAAGCCCTGCATCGGGCTCTCTGCTCAGCAGGAAGCCTGCTTCTCCCTCTCCCTCTGCCTGCCTACTTGTGATCTTTCTATCTCAATCTCTGTCAAATAAATAAATAAAATATATTTTTAAAAAACACCCATTTAAACCTGTGTTGTTTTAGGGTCAATTGTATTTTCAAGGCACGGGAAGCAAAATCATTTGTTAATGAATTGGTTGTTGGTTAAAGATGACTCTACAGTCACTGATCTGAGCAACTAGAGTTAAGTTTCCTTTTTAGAAAGAGAGTAGACTGAAAGAGGAATGGTTTTAGGGAAAAGGATCAATAGTTTTGTTTTGAATGTGTTAAGTGAAAGATGCCAACTAGACATCAAGAGGAAATGTGAAACAGACAGTTGGAATAAGAGCACACCGGGAGTTTTTTTATCCATTAGCTCACATAGGTGGCACAACAATGCTGCCACATTTCAAGGAGATTGAGAAACAGAGATTCAGAGAAATAATAAGACTAACAGAAGTTTGCACACCCCCCCATTGATGCTTGAAGTAGAAGTCCGTGACACTATTGCCACCTTATCAGGAAACACTTAAGAAAAACATTCATGTACATTAAGACAGTTATGATCAATTTAGTCTTGCTTTTCATGTTTTCTTTTATTTGGGAGATGGGTCATTAATTCTGATTCAAGCTGGTAACTTCACATTTTCTCCCAGGAGGTAATGATTACTCATTAATACTCCATCCCAGTTGTTCTCAAATTTTAGAAAACATAAGAATCACTTGGACCCACGTTAAAAATAAAATTCCAGTGTCTCTTATTCAACTTGTTGCCTTTATCTACAAGCGTATTTTTTTTTCCTGACAAAAATCTATTCATCCAGA